TTCTTCACAGACAAATTTTCCCGGCGTTAAACTAACACTTTCCGATTATAGGAAAATTCAAATAAGCGAAATATTAAAACGTCACGCACAAAAATGCGAAACCCCCACATTGACAAATATAAGATATTCATCATTGAATACCTCGACCGTTTCAAATAACGCTCTTAAAAATAAAAATAATAATAATAATGGGAATGGGAATGATAACGGTGATGTAAAAAAAAAATCAATACCCTCTTCCGCCTCCGCCGCCGCTAATAACGATAGTAATAATAATAATAATAATGTTAATATAAAAAAAGATGATGTTATAAAACAAAAAAAATCTAAAGATTGGATGCATTATCCACAATCGAACGAATTAGAAAGTAGATTATCCGGTTTATGGAAAAATAATTTTAATGTTAAACAAATTAAAAACAAAGATGATAATTATGATGTTTTTATTACTAGTATTAATAATATTAATAGTAATAGATCCACGGATGAAACAACGGGAAAAAAACAGGATATTATACAGAAACAAGATTATGGACAAATTAAAAAGAAAACGGATATACTCGATCATCATCATCATCAGGGTAACGACGATCATAAAAATTATGGAGAAGAAGAAAAAACAGGTAAAAGGACGACATATTCGGATCGTTTGTTGGTCTATAGAACGGAATTGGAAAGAAATAAAGAAAACCCATCATCCGATACGGAATCTGATAAAGTGAAAAAAGATAATAATAATACTACTATAACTACAACTACTACTACTACTACTACTACTAATAATAATATTAATATTAATAAATCATCAAAAGACAACGTACCAAAGGTTTTTTTTTTCTCATTTTTTTAAATTCATTTCCTGCGTTTATTAATTATAATAATAATGATAATTTTTTAATTGATAATTCCAGAATAATTTAATAACTGAAATAAGTTCGAGCATATCAAGAACGAGTAGTTATCCAGCAGCATCACAAAAAAATGATGAAATAAAACTTAAATTAACAAGATCGGCCGAATTAAAAGAATTAGTCACACAAGCAATAAAAGTATTTAAAAGAAAATTTTTTTTAACGATTTTTATCTACTGCTACTGGAGAAAATTTTCTTTTTTGTTTCCAGGATCATAAAATATTTTGCATTTTTGATAATCATTGGTATATAGTACGTCCAGTTCGTGAAGAATTATTAAATCGTGGATGGTTGGAAGTGATACCCGATAGGAGGCTGGTACCACGAAGAAGACCACCTCCATTGGGTCCTGTTTCCGATAAAGATAATCCCGGAATAGAACGAAATTTCGGTTATTATTATTATTATTAAAATCGATTTTTTATTCTTCAATATATATCTATTTATAATTTTTTTTCAGGTACGATAGAAGCAATTTTGACAGCGAAAGAAACATTTATTGAAGAATTACAAGAATTATCAAAATCATCATCGTTTCAAGCTTCTCTCGATAAGCCAAAACTTCAAATGATACCATCGGTTCCGTCAAAGAAAACATCAGATGAAAGTTTAAAAGAAGCATTATCATTATTTAGAATTTCACCCCCGGGTTATGATAAGAAAAAAAATAATTACGAAATAAGAGAATTTGTAAGTAAATGTCAATCGATAAATAAAGAAACGGATAAAAGGGAAAAAACTATAAAAAAATTAAAAGAAAAAGTAACGGAATCCGTTAAAATGAAAAATTCTAAAATAAAAGTCGAAGAAAAATTAAATAATAATGTTGTTGTTGAAAATGTTATCGAGTCGACAACCGGAACGCAAGATCTTCAAAATATATTTAACGTAACGAAAA